ATGGATAAGTAGGTACTTTTATTGCTAGTGATGACAAACCTGTGTACGTCTATGGGGAGCGAGTGGGCAAACTTGGATAGGTCTACTTTGTGTAAGTGACAGTCGGCTCTCCCATTTTGATACGATTAGAGAGATGCTGATGAGGTAGAGGATGGCTGGCGCAAGTTTTTTTTATTTTTGTCCCCCCGACAGAATCTCATTAAAAACGGAGAAGAAAACTTTCAGCTAAAGTAGACATATCCAGCCCACCAACCCCCCAGGTTTCAAATTTCTAACCCTCCCCTGCCTCAAATGCATACTTGCCATACTTTGACAACCATGGTCTGCTGCAATATTTACATTTTGTGTCAGAAATCTTCCCAACACTGCCTGCACAGTGGGTTTTCCAACTTTTATTGGGCTGTCTCCTAATGCAGTAGATGGGGACCATGAAGACTCAAGGATAATCCTTTAACATCCACAAGGTACAGATAAAAGTAGGATTTTGGTCCTTACCTGTAATATACATTGCTTGGATTACAGCATTGGATAAAGGGGGTTCATTTGGGAACCAATCGGATGTGCAAAAGCAATCAACAGAGGTGGGCAACACAGCAAACAACAGCTAACACGCCCGAGAGTAAACACAAACAAACCCCAACAGGGAATATAACAGAAGAGGCCCACAAGTAAAAGGATACCTGAAGAACCTTGCTGCCAAAGCCAGCATCCACAGAGACCTGGACATCCACCTGATAAAACTTGCGGAAAAGTGTGAACAGAGGACCAGGCAGCCTTGCAGATTTGGGAAGCTAAAGCCTGAGGCTGTAAGGCCTAAGAAGCACTAAAGGTTCTAGTAGAGAGTGTGCCCTAACCAGAAAGCAGGGAACCATGTCCTTCAATTCATAGGCATGAGTGATAGTTGGCCAAATCCGTCTAGCGATAGTGGAACAAGGTGTTGGCATCCCCATATGGGGACACTCAAAAATGACTACTAAGGAGTCAGACTTGCAGTTGGAATCAGTAGAAAAGAGGTAAACATGAACAGCCTGAAACACGTCCAAACAATGAAGCGAAATGTCTTTAGGATGTTTACAAGCAGTACATAATAATGGCAGAACACTGTCCTGGTTGAGGTGAAAGGCAGAGACCACCTTAGGAATAAAAGGAGGCCCTAGACCTCGGCACTACCTTATCCTTATGGATATCCAGAAAGGGTTGTATACAATTCAAGGCAGCCAATTCAGAAATATGCCTGGCAGAAGTGAAGGGTGACAAGGAAGGTCAAGTTCCGAGTGAGGCAGGAATATCTGAGGAGGTTCCAACAGCAGCTTCCATAGTGCTGACAGGACTAAGCTGAGGGCCCACAGAGATACTGGAGTGCATACAGGAGAGACAACGTGAGCAACCCTTTAGAACTAAACTTTTTTGCTTCCCACCAAATAAAATAAGCCTTCCAGCTGCATTGGTAACCCTTGCAGGAGGTCAACTTCCTAGCTTTAAGACGCATAGGGATGACATTGTCCAAAAAGTCTTTTTATAGATGAACCTGGACACCAGGAGGTCCACACCTGGTGTCCCCCACCTGTGTCCTGACATTGATGACTAAGAGAATCCACCTGCCAACTTTCCATGCCTGAATACTTGGATACTCATGCAGGTCACCACTTATAATGTGTACAGGTCCTAAAACTGAAGCACTTCTCACCATCTTAGTAATAGGAGACCATTGTGATCTGGTGAGTGAGTCGTGTTTAAGGGATTTCACAGAGACGTATTTTCATTTGACAACGGATTAAGCACTGAAAGGAGCAGTTTCATATCACTATTAAGTGGATGCAGGAGTGTGATCTCATTTATATGTGTTGACTTTATTACACTATACTATATTGGAGCATGCCGATATTGAATATGTTATAAGTTATATGACAGGTATATTTATTTATTTTACAATAAGCATTTACTGATCTGAAGGATACTAGGGTGTATTGTTTTAATAGGTATTTATTAGGTGCTGTGCTTTAGGATATCAGTTTATGATTATCCAGTGTGAGAACTGAGCACAGCCGTTCATTGAGGCTTTATTAGGTGTTGGACAAGCGCAGAGCATTTCTCGTTATATAAAAGTTGAGATATCTTTCATCAACTTCTCAAAAAAAAGGTGGCAACCACAGTGGGGGGTAAATAAAAAAAAAAGCGAGTGCGAGAGAAAAAAGGCAAGTTTTGAGGTCCGCAGTCCCAAGCAGTGGTGTGTTTAACACCAAATTAATAAAAGTAGTGCACAACACTTTACTAATGTGTCACATTAAATAGAAATATCAAGGCAACTGGACTTGCGGTTTTCTTGGAACATGTTTCGCTGGTCATCTGACTAGCTTTCTCAATTCAGAAAAGAAAAATGAAACAAAAAAAAAAAAAATCAAAGGCAAATGGGCTTGCTTTATTTTTCTTAAAGGTGTTTCGCTGATCAATGGCGGAGAGAGATTCAGAGTAGAGAAGCAGATCTTTGCATCAAAAGGCTGTATGATCATATATATACACACACACACACACGCCGCACATTAAGTACCCAAGGGATGTATGCCCCTCCCCCCCCCCAGGCCACAGAATGGGCACACAGAGCAATAGATGCTACAAATATTAAAATGGTTGATCAGCAATAGAAAGCAATACATTTGCCTTACCTGTTCCATTGTGCGCTGTCAGTTATCCTTTACACACCACAAATTAACCTGAGATCACCACAACCAAAGGGAATATGCAATGTCCAGGAGAGTCTGCGGCATGTTAACCCAGATAGTGTGTCCTGTACCCACAATCACAATAGACATAACATCTAATATGACCCATCAGCAATGTTCAGGAAAATTCCTAAAAGGCAAACGGGTTGCCAGTGTCTAACTCAAATAACAAAATACAAAAATGTTCATTTCAACAAACCACACACTATGATGTGGATAGTTTATTTACAGAAATTACAAAGCAAAATAAGTGTTCTGCCTGTTAAATTAGTTAATTGGAGTATGTCAGAGACTCAGCAGGTTAGGCAGACAGTAGCTGTAAGTCACAAAAAGGTTTACACAATGTTCGGCACAAAAACATTAGAAAATGCAGACAAGACACAAAGTAAAGGGAAATAACTGAAGCAGCCCCCCTAGAGTTACGTGGAGGTGCCATTTTGTGGGTGGAGTCATTGTAGAAGAGGCGGAAGTCAACAAGCTGACTAGGAATCTGCGATATCACTTAGGCACAAAAGTGGTTTCTGGTGAATTGATGTTCTGTGTTAAAGGAAACTACGCCCTCCTATCCCATACACCCAAGAAAGGTGCCATCTTAGCCTCTAGTTGGATTGCAGTTGCCCCGGTATTACACATATGATCATCTTTGACACCAGCCATTTAAGGGCTTGAAATTCAGTTGAGCTGATGATTTTACATTACGACTTTGGTCAGAAAGGTGGGACTGAGCTGTAAAGAAATGTGGCTGTGACTGCATCAGAATCACATTCATAATAAATGGTCAAACTAATTCAAATCCATGACAAAACACTGCCGCTATATATTAAAGGCAATGTATTAAAATGTGTTATTTTTATGAGTTTTCTTGATGTGATATTTTTGAACTGGCCAGTAGTTTACAAGCTTAAACACTTAGTTTACCTTTCTCACCATGTTTCATGTTCTCAGGGGGTAACACAAAATATGGTCACATCAAAGCATCCTCCCCCCCACCCCCCCCAGGGTTCTTTGTGTGCATTTATTATTTTTTCTTAAAAAGGTGGACTTTACCTTTAAAACCCAATCATGATGCAAACATGCTATTTTTGCTCAAGAATAAAAATTTGAAACCTTTAAAATATACTAAAATACACTGGAGCGAGAGTGCCTGAATTAGTATTTTTTAAAGTGGTTAAAATGAAGGGAATAAAATAAAATAGAGATTCAGAATCCAAGTAAGCTTTTGCTTACAGAGGACTTTTGCTTCCAGGCTCTTACCTCTCATTGTGGGAATTGGTATCCAACTAGTTACCAAACAGTGGTGCTAAACACAGCACACTGACTGGGAGTCATCACCCTGCCTTTTCCACCATTTATCCCAACAGGAAAATGACTGTATAGAGTTTTAACTTCGTATTAAAAATATGGATAAAACGGCAGACAGAACGCAGTGGTGTGAATTACAGCAATGTAAAAGTTCAAGCTCAGCTATGTAAACAGCGTATTTTCAGCATTGACTGGAGTATTCTCACAAGTTATGGGGTTGCTGAAAAATATGTAGAAGCAAGACTGTCCTAATACTGCTAAAATGCCTACGAATAAAATTATAAATAAAAAAAATAATTATTATTTTTTGGCATCTACCCTCATAAGGGTTGTGGGATATTCTGGTAATTCCAGTCATGCGTTCTGTCTGCATGTGTGCTATTATTTTGTATTTATGCCTTTTCGGGTACTGTAATCTGTACTGCAGATGGGATCTGAGGTAAGTAAAGAATGACTACCATTAAAAGTATTCCATTACACCTAGAACTTTTTGTCTTTTCATCAATAAAGCAGGAGTGAGGGACTTGGAAACTGGTGCACATAGCAACCTGGCTACTTGGCCAAGAAAGCGGTGCACCTACTCACCTGGCTACTTGAACAATAAACCAGTGCACCTACTTACCTGGCTACTTGGCCAAGAACAAAAACATGGCTAGGAGTGACACAAGGCAGAAATGGAGGCAGCAGTCATCCAAGCCAATGTTTGTACATATAAACAACAACCAGATTCCTTCTGGCAGTTTTATATTTAAAAATAAATAAAAAATAGAATGTGATAGGAGGCAATCACACCATGATTTCTTTCTACAGAATACCCAATAGCAATGGTTTTTGCTAACTGTAAAAGGCAATGGAGTCATAGTTAGAGTCTAGCTCAGCCCACTGAATGTGACAGATACATAGAAAAACCTGTATCTTGTTTTCCTAAAACTGACCAGAACCGATTCCTAGCTCGGTTGGATAACGGGGAGTATGTAATTACTGACAAAATTAAGGCAAGTCCAAACAATGCATATTTTGGCATATGATATGATGTACCTAATACATTAGGTATCTTTTGTTGTGTACAGTTTAACTAAGAAGCACAATACACTGACGGAGAAGAAGACGTATACACATAGAATTAAGACACTACAGACTCTTTGCGAGGCCGAGAAACAGTTTAAATTTCAAGTAGGAGATGAGGTTAAGATGTATGCCAGACTCTGTTTAGGACTTTAACTACTTCTTCATATATAACAAACACAATGGCAACATCCAGACACACTCTGCCCAAGCGAGGAATGGTTCCCTTGTAGAACCTAAAAAGGTGGGAAAAACAGAGAGAGAAACTTTCACAACTTGGATCTAAGTTATCAGATTCCTACCACTACATATTGCTAGAACGTTTCCACAAAATTTTAGACTAAAAAGATGCAACCAGTTTAAGGATACTCACGCTGAAGGACCCTCGTTGCGTAGGATTTGGCTTGCACAGTCAAGTGTGCTCTTATATTTATGAGCTTCTAAGCCCTGGTAATTGGAAAAAGAATATTACTTCTTGGAGTTTAAATGACAAATGTTTTTTTTACTGAAATATTAGTAATACTAAGTGCATACAAATATTATATTAATATAGTAATTTGGTACAAAGTAGTCTTGCGACCTAGACTACCCTGCAAGGTAACAGGGCTAAGTCAGTAACCTCACTTTATTGCAGCACAGTTAAAGACGTTTACCTATATTAAAAACTACATTACTCCGATTTAAACAGCCACAGCCTTCTCCACCATTTACCTTGTTACTTCCAGGGTAAAATGCTGGTGGCACCGGCACACTGAGCCCCCATAGTCTTGGAAAGTGCTGTACTTTGATCCTCTCTAGTCTCAGAGGAGAGTCCCATTGGGAGTCTATGGGAGCTCACTGTGAAGGTGCAGGCAACGCTGAAGCAGATTTCAGCCCAGAGGAATGAAACGGCGAGAGAGAGGCCATGGTGCTCATGTTAAGGTAAATGAGCAACTGGGTCGGGAGCTAGAGGGCTAAAGAGGATGGACCAATACAGTCTTTAATTGAGTGAACATGCCCTTTAAAAAAGGAAAAACATGGTGGTTAGGGTCAATTGTTTTTCATAGCTTTTTAAAGGTATATCATAACTTTTTTTTTTTTTAACCAGGTGTATAAAATCTTTACTTTACAAATAAACAATTAAGATTTTAGCTACCGAGTTGTGTAAACCACTTGTTTTTTTCCCAGCAGGGCAGCTAAGGACAGACAGGTTAAAATGTAAAAAGGAGCCTTAAATGCCACCTGCTGGCTGTAAATGTAAGCGTTTGTTGGACAGCCTCCTAAACCACTAGTCCACAGCGAAACAATACTGCTGTTAAACTACATATCTAATGTTTCCATAGCAGACCAAGGTATCCCTGATACAAAGGTTTTATTTATCCATTCATTTTTTTTTTTTTTTATTTAAAACCTTTATCCTAAACATAATAATAATTAAAATAAAAAAAAATAAAAAAACTGTAGTCCTCATTCTGATTAATGTCTAGACAGCAGTCCAAGCACCCATTCATGCACATGCATACATACACAGGGCCCAAAAGAGCAGCATGGCTTGTCAACATTAATCTCGGTCTTATACTGTTGATGCCTATGTGTATTTAAACGTGTTGGGCTTTAGTCCTTGTCCTTTAGTCGAATTCCATCAATAGAAATCTGCAACCTTCAATATAAACCAGGTTGTACCACTGCCAGCATAGGCAGAATATAACCTGTAGATTTTCCTTGATCTCTTAGTAAATGTACCTACAAAGAGATCAAGGAAAATCTACAGGCTGTGGCATGGATCTTTTTCAAATACCAGACTAGTTACACAGAATCATTAGGCTCCTCAAACTCAGATGTTGCACACACAATGTTACCTGCATTCTGGTCTTAATAACATCTAGAGGTGTATTTCCAAAGACACTAGCAGCCCCGGCAATGGCCCCGAAGGTCCCAGTGATAAGGGGATTAATTGTTTTGTGTGGATCATCACCTGGAAACACAATATTCACAAATGCTTATAGATGCAGGATGAGATAATTGTTACAAAGAGAACGGCAGGAAAATTATGAGACATGATTGCCCTTAAGCATCTCCATTACATGTTGGATTGATGGAACTAGTAATTTGCACAGGAAAGATAAAGATGTTTGTACTTCCTTTTCAGCTCACAGGAAGTGATAAAGACTCTGCATTTCTGGCAAAGTCTGCAGGTATTTTCTGTATGGTGTGAAAATGTCCTTGGCCCGAAAAGTAAAAACTAATGCATCACATCCAAGGGTTGGCAAGCTGCGATATAGTCAACTTTAGGTTTTTGGGTTTCTGAAGCACTTTAAGAAATATCAATGGTCTACTGCTGCAGAACAGTGACAACATGCGTTGCCCATGTCTCAGATACAAGATGATACACTAAATTACCAAAAGTATTGGGATGCCTGCCTTTACACGCACATAAACTTTAATGGCATCCCAGTCTTAATCCGTTGGGTTCAATATTGAGTTGGCCCACCCTTTGCAGCTATAACAGTTTCAACTCTTCTGGCTGTCCACAAGGTTTAGGAGTGTGTCTATGGGAATGTTTGACCATTCTTCCAGAAGCGCATTTGTGAGGTCAGGTACTGATGTTGGACGAGAAGGCCGGGCTCGCAGCCGCCGCTCTAATTTATTCCAAAAGGTGTTCTATCAGGTTGAGGTCAGGACTCTGTGCCGGCCAGTCAAGTTCCTCCACCCCAAACTCGCTCATCCATGTCTTTATGGACCTTGCTTTGTGCACTGTTGCGCAGTCATGTTGGAACAGGAAGGGGCCATCCCCAAACTGTTCCCACAAAGTTGAGAGCATGAAATAGTCCAAAATGTCTTGGTATGCTGATGCCTCAGGAGTTCCCTTAACTGGAACTAAGGGGCCAAGTCCAACCCCTGAAAAACAACCCCACACCATAATCCCCATGTAACGAGCCCGTACTCACTCGGTTCCACTCTCCCGGCACTCCTCTGCTACTATTGGATCAGATGTCAGACCGCACGTCTGATTCTTCGATCGTCCGATAATCCGGGATTCGAACTACAGCTATGCGCCGTTCGAATCCAGTTGTGATAGCTCAGAACAAACACCAGGCAGGCTGTATGTAAGTTCCAACAGGGATCTGCTTTATTGAACACACATACACTTTTATACACCACAGTTTGAACAACCCGCCCAAACAACCACTTCCTATTGGTCATGCAAATGAAGGATTGAAACAGAGTCAGCAGGGATTGGTCCGATAACTTGAATGGGGGGGCTGATATGGGTAATGACACAGAGAAGTCCCAGGAGATAATTACATTACATAAACAACAAACAGTCAAACACAGAACAATGCCTTCCTTCCAGACCCCTTTGGAGGGGGATTAGCCTTAAGACAAACATTGGATTGCCAGACAGAGCGTGATTTGTCACTCCAGAGAACACGTCTCCATTTCTCTAGAGTCCAGTGGTGGTGTGCTTTACACCACTGCATCCAATGATTTGCATTGCACTTGGTGATGTAAGGCTTGGATGCAGCTGCTCGGCCATGGAAACCCATTCCATGTAGCACTCTACGCACTGTTGCTGTGCCAATTTGAAGGCCACAGGAAGTTTGGAGGTCTGTAGCTATTGACTCTGCAGACAGTTGGCGACTTCTGCGCACTGTGCGCTTCAGCATGCGCTGACCCCGCTATGTTATTTACGTGGCCTACCACTTCGTGGCTGAGTTGCTGTTTTTCCCAGTTGCTTCCACTTTGTTGTAATACCACTAACAGTTGACCGAGGAGTATTTAGTAGCAAAGAAATTTCACGGAATACCTGCATCCAATGATTTGGAGGGGTGTCCCAATACTTTTGGCAATATAGTGTATATTATCTTGTATTGCATACATTTATTGCAATTCATTATTTACATCACACACTCACCTAAATACCAGTTACGTAGAGAGGTCATAACAAAGAACCGGATTGCCTGGTTGGAACCTTGCTTTAGAATGGTTGGGGTCAGCCCTTGATATGTACCACGTAATCCTAGAAGAGATCAAACATGAACAATGTGCTTAATACAGTTAATTAAGTTTTTTAGTAGATGCTGGAGAGTTGAAGTGTATTTCCACTTCTGTAGCAAAATTGAGATAACATCCATTTTATATATTTGTTAAATGTTCCCATTCACATAGCTTAAGAAAAAAAAAATGCTTCTTGTAGTTTAAATTGCTTTTACTTGGATCAGGGTTTCTCGGCTTCTTAAGGGTTAAAATAGCTAACTACGTCCCCTTATTTTGTAATGTTAGAAGGGGCTGTGAGGAGTTAAAGGATTACAACCCTGGCTTTTCCATTGTATGTTAATGAAGTTAATGAGAGAAATACAATGCTCAAATTACAGTCCCTAGTCTTTCTAAAGGGCAGATCATTGTGAAGGTGCTCAGAAAAACCTTGATTCAGCCATCTTGCCTGCTGCTACAAAACATCTAAAAGAAGGTAAGGAATATTTTTTCCAATTATTTTTCAGCATGCTGTGGAAATAGGGACACAAATATATGTAGGTATTCTCTCAGATTTGACTGCAAAAGTGGAAATACACTTTAAGCAATCCAACAAGTTTCTTATGCCACCAAGACTTGTAATTTCCTGGGTCTGAACGCTTGCTGCAGATCTTAAAAGAGAACTATGGCCCAACCTTTATTTGCCATAGTTCTCTTTAGTATATGTCCTCCTGTGACCCTAATGTCCTCCTGTGACCCCAAAACTCAGCATATAGCAGGCTATTTTCCACTATATGCTCACAGCACAGAGCGGTGCTGCATCCATGACTGATCCCGACAATATTGTCGGGATCCACACCGCTGCCCGATTGGCAGGTGGCTCTGCCTCTAGAGATAGAGCCAGTTGTGCCATCCCCCTTCCTCCAGTCAGCACCGGAGGAATGGAGAGGGAAGGGGGGAATCCCTGTGGGGGAGCAGTGACTGAAAATCACAGCTCTCTGCAGGCAGATGATTGGGAACCGAGCGATCAGCAGTATGTGACCGTTCAGTTCCCGATCTATAGAGCCGATATGTGACAGCTTCAGTGTCACACGTCGGCTCTAATTATGGGGATAAGTGTATGTCAATCCCACCATAATTCTCCTTTAAGAGGAGTGCCACTCTCCCTGTGACAGTTTTTATTTTATAATATGGAGAACACAACAGAAAATACTGGAAAAGGCAAAAGTGGACAGAAACAACCTAAAATCCTAGGTAGAGTGGAACAGAGTATCCATGACAAAAGGAAGCCAGGGGCTGACTCAACTGCCTTTTATAACTAAAATATCACTTTGGGTAGAGAGATCCTTTAATAATTACCGTTTAGAAAACATTTTTCCACAGGTAGCAATAACTTTTTTCAAAGAATACTTCTATTACGCATTGATCTGGAATAATAATCTATGATTATAGAACAAAAATCCCTATACCAACATCTCAATAAACAGTAGTCAATTTAAACGACAATATACAACTTATAGTCTATTTACTTAAACTGGCTATATACTGCAATTTTTTTTTTTTTTTTTTGTAGTAATAATGTCAACATTTTTAAAACTACATAGCACTTTTAAAGTACATACTGACTGGCGACGGGCTTTAAATTACCACCCCCCTCCCCCAAAAAAATTATATGGAGGGCATTATAAAATTACTAAAATTATAAAATTGCTTTTAATCATCACATATGCTTCAGGAAGGCAAGATTATTATAACTGGGAATTGCTCTCCAGCAACCATTTCCTAGATATCTGTGATCACGGTAGCTACCTTGCTCTCGAATAATCTCCCGTACTCCATGGTAGAACCCACGATACTTTGGCGTAGATGAGGCCTGGTCATGGATGAATTTTACCTGAAACAGGCATTAAAGGCTTCAGATAAAAAAAGAGGCACAGCTTGTATTCAATTAAAATAAAGAGAAGCTACTAAGATTCTGACAAAGGGTTGATCCACCCAAAGCCAAACAGTCAGCTTTTGGTAGATGCTGAACATTTTCTTATCACTTTCAGAGCTCTGAGTTGGAGCTCTCAAGTTAACCTGCCTTTCCAGGCCACCGCAGAGTGGATGCCAACTCTTTTTGTAGGATTTTAATGCATTTTTTTACTGTGGAGGTGACATCAGAATGAGTGGGAACAATCCAGGGTGAGAGGAATAGGGCCAGGAAGTATGGAAAGGAGATCTCAATACTGGAGTCCCTAAAAGACATAAGAAGCTGGCAAATGACTTAGCCAAACACACTCCGCCTGCAACTGAACTATCCCCGTTACGTGGACTCTCCCTTTGCATCAATTAACTAGATATCATTTTTCATTAGACTCCTCATTATTTGCTCATTATTTGAGGATACCTAAACTCTACACTGCTGTGAGCTCATTTGAAAATGGTCACTTCCCTGACATAACACATGCTGCAGGATTTCATTGTAAGGGTATTTGCACTTACCTTTCCCCTTAGTCTTCCTGCAATGTCTCACAAATGCCTGGTAATCCTGCCAGTAAAGCCTACCTCATTCAGCTTCTTGCAATGGGGGAAACACTGTTGCACTGCTACTAAAATTAAGGTAGCTTTGTCCCTTATGTAGTTTGTGGCACTACAGTGGGATGAGAAGATGTTGCAGCGGTGTGGCTATCCACATTGCCACAAGCCTATCTGAGGCCAGACGGTGGGAGGCCAGTCCCACTGTCTGGCCTCATTGGGAGGCCAGACAGTAGGACTGGCCTGCCACTGTCCTGCCAATGGCTTTAGTAATTGCCAGAACTGACTGGCCCTCACACTTTTGGCTTCAGTGTCTTGGATAAAATTTGTTTTTACATTTTTTGAGGTCCTTGCAAAACATTGTTTAGACTGCCACAAATAAGCTGTTAGGTGTACCTTATTGTACCTTTGTAATGGACTGGAGGGCACTCTTGCGATCCTAGCTATTCAGGGAAGCATCATTTCTAGGGGGTGGGGTTCAAAATAGCAGTCCTTGAAATATTATGGAATGTCCAGTTTCATGTGGTCGATACTGTTCCCATTTATAGCTAAATATATTTTTTTTAAAACACAACCTATCCCTATAAATCAGTACCATCACTGTATCTGTAACCCACATTGTGGAAAGCATTCTAAAAAATGTGTTTGGTAATGTGGAACTTCTTCTGCGAGGTTATGTTTGGCACATTATATTACAAATGGAAGGAAAGCAGGGATATGCAAAAAAGGTCAGCAGCCATTTCTTCTACACCAACAGAAGGCAGATTTCTATGGCCAGTAAATGTAGACAGACACATATCACATTTACACTCACATACCTTGATAGTTTCCATTGGACAGACGATAAGAATAGCCTCTGCCACACCTGCCCCTAAACCACACATGAAACTGGTTTTTCCATCCAATTTTCTAGAATCACTCCTTGCAATATTACTCAGGAACTCAAATGTACCAAACCTGAAAAAAATAAAATAAAAAGGTGTCTTTTAATGAATGAAATCTGCTAGGAAACAGACATTTGATTTTATTGCATGTGAACATATAGGAATGCACAAAAAGAAAAATGTTCTTCTAAAACAGAATGCCTGTACAATTTAAAAACAAGATTAGTGGAGTGAACTTGTTGACTGAAATACACTTAAAGAAAAACTAATAGTTCTGGTAATTTTCCCTTTAATGTTAAACTGATATATAAATGTATATAATATATATTATTTTATATATTTATATAAAATGTATTACAATCCCTAGTTTACAATTAAACAATAAATACGGGATGCTTGCATGGTTCAGGGAGTGCAATGCATGCTGGGTCAACCAGCACTAGCTCTATGCTCGCTACCTGCTCACTAGGTGCCACCACAGTAGAGGAGTTTGCGCCTCCTCCAAATCATTCAACTGACTCATTCTAAACCAGCTATCTGAAACACTGGACAAGCAGACCCAATTCTACCACCTGCTGGCTGCAAAAGGATATGAAAATATTTATGCATTTCTAAAGACAATATAATGCATGGGGGGAAAAAAACCTAACATTTCCTTCACCCTCCATGCCCTTATCTTCGGCTTCAAATTCTCAGAGTTAATTCCAAGCACCTTGGCCTGCCTCTCTGCATCACTGCTATATAGCAGTCACACTGAAGGGCTACAGGGAAATCTCAGACAACCCGGGGGAGAGTAAGGTAGAAGGTACAGATCCTGACATTCAATCATAATACTATTTTGGACTGAACGATGTCTCTCCGCACTGTACTCCGCAACTGTTTATGGATCAGTTTGGATGGACTTAATTTTACACTAATGCATAACTAAAGATATCAAAAATATAAACTAGGGTTAGAAAGATTAGGTCAAAAGGAAAAATGTACTCAAGCTCTGTATAGTAATGTATAATGTAACAGAGTTATCATAAAAAAATATAATCAATTTACTATGTATCCAATTCTTATAGAACATAGTCACATGGTTAAAGCTGAACTCTAAGCAGATATGAAAAAAACCAAAAACATTGTTTAATGCAATTGTGTATTTCTTTAATAAGAATTAAACATATTTATAGATCTCTTACAAGTACCTGATCTGTTTGTGTATCAGCCTCATGGGATCCTCTGCAAAGCAGTGCTTGAAAGAGGGAGGGGCAGCAGCAGGAGCTAATCAGGCTCAACTGCATGCACATGTGCTGCCAGGGAACATGCTGACAACAGAAAGCGGAATGAGCCAAGAAGGGAGGCAATAACGCCTTAAAGCAAAATTATATATATTTTATTTATTAGAGTAAGGGAGGGTTATAAACCGTGTCCAATTTTTTTGGCCTTCTGTGTTCCATCGTGGAGATTTCCCTTCACTTCCAACAAGAAATGAGAAAATAAATTATCCCTAGTGGTCAGCAGGGTCACTGGAACTAGTGTCCCCATTGGAACATTTATCATACATTCCTGTTCTGATTACCCAGAATTTGGGATTTTCCAGTGATAACGGTCACCAGGACAAATGGAGGGGGCAGATCTCCCTAACGTGGACACAGACAGCAATAAAAACCTGACCGTTGTTCTAATCCCTCTCCACTCTATCCAAATCTATTCTCTGCAAATATAGGTTTACATGTACTTGGGGTTTTCATTACTTTGAAGAAAAAAAAAACCCACACAAATGGGTTCTACTTCCTTATCTTACATCAGCATTATTTGCTGGGTTACTCTAATGCATTGACTGTTTCTTCACTGGTACCATGGACCTGGTTTCATACCTTACTGCAGACTTGGGGATGGATCCATACAGTAATGAGCTAAGACCTCGATACAAGCCTCCGACTCCATGATCCTTTACAGTAAGCTTGACACAGTGACCTGAGGGTGACACGAGAGGTAAGTGAGCCATCCGGTAATTCCCACCATGTAATATAGGAGCACACCTTCTTACCTATTCCTCTGTAGCGGGGTGGATTGGCTTTCTCATCTAACTGAAGCTGAGTCTTGACATATTCTGTAGGGAACGTGATGCAGATTTCAATTCCCCCTGCAATTCCACCTACAAGAGATAAAATCATAGGGACTGAGATGCGATTTCCCAAATCTGGTAGGTGTGTAAAAATGAGAGTAGAGATTGATCAGTTTATGCCAATTTATTCACCCATCCACTGAATCACCCTAGCCTGAGGAAGTCACACGACGAAACGTGTCAGTGAATAGATACGCGCTGATGTAAAAAGTAGGGTGTGGACCCAGTTCTGGCCATCATATTAAAATTGTTAAACAGATGAAGTGCGTGTGTGTGTGTGTAATCAGGAGCTCCTAGTATAAACTTCTAATACACATACAAACAGTGCAGAATAACCATTGGGAGCATCAGACACAGCCACCATGTTCCAGGGGACAGAATAACTCCTTCAGGGCCTGAACAATAATTTGAAATAACAGAGAAAGCCTGCAGTGATTCTTACGCCTCTAAAATTGTGGATTCATTAAAAAAATTAATGCCCCAACCCCCCCCCCCCCCCCTTCTTTTTTTTTTTCTTTCTTTCCTTCTCTTTTCATCCCTACCTCCAAGATTCCCCCTCTCAATACCCATGTTGGGACACAGGTGGCCCTCTACTCTTACCACGCTTCATGGTCTCACCAGTATCTAGGCTTGCTTAGGGTTTACTGGGCATGGAGTAGTGGCTTGGAGGGAGAAGGGGGGGGGCACAGTACACAAAGACCATGGTTACCCCTTCTGTAAACAGGCCCTTCGGGGATGCTCTTAAATTTGAGAGTGCAATTGAGAGTGAAGTGGGAGTCTTTATGAAGCATGTGCTCTACGCTGGATAGCTTCTTTATGGTACTTTACATTTTGAATGTAATAGGAAACATTGTTATCCCTTAAATCTGTCTAGACTTCTGGATCTTGAAACACTTAGGTTATGTACATGGAAGTTGGGGAGTTTTTATTGCCTATTGGATTATTTCACGTCATTATTTGATATGTTGTCCTCGTCTTTGCCTTGTGATTGTACATTGTTATTTTTTTTCCTTCTGTTATATTTTGACTTTTCAATGTAAAGTATATAAAAAAGCCTAAATTAAAGCTGGACAGAAGCTAGCATGTACTGACGGCAATGTAAGCGGCAGGAGATCCAACTAGCTGTTTACAATGCCATCAGGACACCTCACTTTAATGCAGCCATAGATTGTAAGCTCTTACAGACAGGACCCTTCTAACCATATCGCCTTGAAGTGTATTGTAACTGCAAAGTCTTCCTTTATAATGTACAGTGCTGCACAAACTCTTGGCGCTACATTATTATAATACAGGATTTATATAGCGCCAACAGTTTGCGCAGCGCTTTACCATATAAGGAGGACATTACAATCACAATACAATTCAAGACAAGATGGTAAGGAGGGCCCTGCCCCTGAGGGCTTACAATCTAAAAGGGAGGGGGAAGTGATACATGAGGAGGTAATATCAATCCTGTATAATAATAATAATTCAGTCTAGATGTTATTTCATTCCGGATTGTATTACAAATTGTTGTTCATGTCCCCTGAACTGAGTCGACTATATCTTATAAAATACTTTAAAAACACATTTTAAGTGAAATGCAAGTTTGTACAAGGCGCTCCTAACACCTCACCCAGAAGTGATTTCCCAGAAACAACCACACAATGCCATGTAGGCTGATAGAAATGTAATGCAACGTAACAGACGTTTTTCCTGGTAGAATAAACCTCTCATTAATAAACAATGCTTCTTGATGTTTAAAGGAGAACTATGGGGTCAGTGTTTTTCCCCATAGTTCTCCTTAGGGTAACGGGAGGACACAAACTAGCAGAAATGTTTGTAAAACATAAATTTTCTATTTAACATATGCTATAAATATACATAACAACTTGGCTTCATCAGGGGATTGTAAACTGATCACCCAATGGGAGTAGCTTGGTATGGGTTGAGCTCTTTGTACGGAGTGTAGGCAGGTGTAGGAGTCCTCCGACAGAAACACTACGCCCAGTTTTTGTCCCGGGGACCACAATAGGAGGGAAGGATTTCGGGTATGCGCAGGAGGGCAGGACTGCCTATGCTTATCTTGTAGTATTCAACTTCCATAGACCTGTCAGGTTCTGGTCATGGAGCAAAGGGTTGGTATGGAATTGAAAGATCCGATCGGTCCGGTCGCAAATAATATCCCGCAGCCACCTTGATGCCTTCTACTCGCAGGCTACCACCGTCACCTCCTAGGAGCCCTTCCTGGGGTCTATGCTCCTGGTACAATCTCGTTTTAACTTATCGCAACTGCCTGTTGCTTTTCATATGTATATTTATAGCATATGTTAAATAAAAATTTATTTTTTACAAAAATTTCAAGCCGTGGTGAAATACCTCTCAAAAACCGCTGTTTTTCTTCTTGTGTTACAAAGTGTTCAACTCTACTTTACAAGTGATGGTCAGCTAGCACAGTACAGACAGGGTTAATTATGTCAACATTGACCTTCCAGCCCCCTTCCATTCCAGAGCAAACATCAGTACAGAGAACACATTTTCTTTCGGAATTGAGCATGTATTGTGCAAGTGCCAATAATAAGTTATTCTATGTGAATGAGAAACGTAACAAAAATATTAAATGTTCCATTAGACTTACCGGTAACGGTATATCTAGGAATCTTCCAGGACAGCAACCTGAAGTAGGCTTGCTATCCTGGAAGATGATTAGGGAAATGTTCCGTTAGACTTACCGGTAACGGTATTTCTAGGAATCTTCCAGGACAGCAGGCCTACTTCAGGATGCTGTCCTGGAAGATTATTAGGGAAATAGGGGTTATCGCAATTTGACTGCAAATGTGGAAATACACTTTAAAGCTGAATTCTGTGATGTCACCGCCCCCTGACCAATCAGAAAACCTCTAGTATTCATTAAGAAAAATACTAAGCGTCCTCTGAATGGTAGATGTGTTGAGCGAGCGACTTGCTGTGTTTTAACAGTGGAGGGGAAGTCACTCAGCACAGCGGCTGTTCCTATACCTGAAATATGCAGTAATATACTATAGTAGCTGCAGCGAAAACAGTGTATTACATGATCCTTGTATTATTATTATTCAGGATCTATATAGTGCCAACAGTTTGCACAGCGCTTTACAATATAAGGAAGACATTACAATCACAATACAATTCAAGACAAGATGGTAAGGAGGGCCCTGCCTGTGAGGGTTTACAATCTAAAAGGGAGGGGGAAGTGATACATGAGGAGGTAGACCATGCCAGGGAGATTGTGTGAGATTATATATATATATATTGCACTGATACCGATACAAGCACCGATACAAATATTTGCATGAGTACTCGTACTCGTGCAAATACTCCAAAACATAAAACGAGTACCTGTGCCGCGTCCGCCATCTTCAGGGACCCGGATCCGCCGCACACAGGACCTCCATCGCGTCTTCAATCAAGCAAGATGGCCGCGACCTCCTCTGTCATCTGCTTCATTCTGACCTCTCCCGCTGATTGGCCGATTGGATGATTAAATTATGTATCACCAGGATTGCTTGTTATCCGTGAAGTACAGTGACAACCTTCAGATTTATTGCACAAACAATTCATTTAAATTCAGCTGCTGCCAATAAAACTGCTCACCCAGAAACTGGAAACGTCTAAAAAAAAAGATTTACAACCTTAGAATGTCATCCATCCTTCAAAACAAGTCAGATGGAACTGAAGTCCTCAGATTTTCAATTCATA